ATGCACGTAACACAGTGTCTACGGACAGTACGGATGTTGTACTGCGATATTATAGTGTACGTGTTCATTATACATTGGATTGGCACATAAAAACAATGAAAATGTATTTGGAAAGGTGCGCAAAAAATGAACGAAAATATATTCGCGGCAACTCGCGCGCCCCGCCCCGAGCGCCCCACCGCCCTTGAGAGCTTACGGCACAGGCGCACGGGGAATGATGACGTCACGCCCCAACTTCCGGACCCCATAGCAGCCAAACTAAGTACAATTTCGACTTTTTCTTTACATACCCATACTGAGGGAAGGGTTTTTGACACTTTAAAAAGAAAAAAGAATTTTTTCCAGAGAATTTATTTCTTGCGCACTGTGGGGGTGTCACATTTGGAGGCAACGCAGTTAAGGGGTTAACTCCCTCCCCTATAGTCAGTGGTTTTTTGCGTGTTTTGACATCCAGCCTGAGAACTTGGGGTTTGGATAGCTGGCACAGGGGTCTGGGGGGCTTCCCTCTTCCCCTTCCCAGGGAGGGGGGGAGCTGTGTAGACGGCGGCTTGGTGACGGTAGTGACATTAGGCTCGTTTGCTTGTTTTTTGTTTGGGGAAGTTTGTCCAACAGTTCGGCTTTCAGTAGCAATATTTTAACCAGATTGGTTTTGTTTTGGGGCGCCTACCTTTCTGGGTGCCTGACCTGGTCGATGGCAGACATAGAATGCTTCCAACCACATGGGGGGTTTCTATAGGCTCCTTGTGCCTCTCTGATGGGGGCCAGGTTCTGGCTCGTGGTCTAAAACTCCATTCGCTTTGACTGATGTCAGGGTCTAATACACTCATATCAGCCATGATAGTTCTGGGGAGCCTCCAGGTCTCACCCAGAAATTGGAGTTTCATAACATTCAACGCTGGTTTTTTGTTTTGTTTCGGTGACTTTCTGGGTGCCTTCCTTTGTAGTGGTAGACATGAACAAATTACTAAAAATGGTATTATAGATCTCATCTCATTTCTGCAATGTTATTATAGATCGCATCGCTCTCTGTGCCTCTGTGAGAGGAGGGCCAGGCCGGTGACCACGAGGCAATGGAAGCAGTACATCCCTAGTGTACCACACTACAAGATGCCAGCAGTTGCAGAATTCTATTCCGTGACTGATGGCACTTTATAGTATGGTACTCTTATCAGAGAAAGTAGCCTCAAAGGAGTCACCGGGGATCACCCAGAAATTGGCGTTTCATTGCATTCAAAGCTGGGTTGTTTTGCAAACGTCAAGATCGCACATCTCCGGAAGTGTTTTAGCTTCAGATGTGAGACAAAAGTCATTCAGTTTCTCTCACTGACATCTATAAATTTACCAAATTGCATCAAAATTTGAGAGATGGTGCCAGAAACCAGGTTGGTAAAGGGACAAGGAATGCCTCCAGTGACTACCTGTCAATGACTACAGAGGAGTGAAATCTAACTCTGTGTACCCCTTCCTAGTGTTTATATCTAACATGATAAGTACTACTCAACATTAATGTTTTCTTCATATTTTTTCTTGAGTTGTGGATGGCATTGTCTTCAACAATCTCTTCTTTCAGTGAATTCCACTTACCGACTACCCATACAAGAATGGAAAAATTAACATTTGAAGGAAATACAGGGGACAGGACTCAATATAGCTCATAATAGTAAAGTAACATGTAAAGGATCTAGGAATGATAATGATTACTGATGAAAAATTTAACATAACCAAGCAAACATTGTCACCCAGGAAAATGATAGGATGGATTATGAGAACCTTCAACCTTGAAGTGTGGGATCCCTTCACAATGCTCCTAATATTTGGCACACATATACACATGATAATGCACTAATTATTTGAACCATCTTGAAGCTCTCAAAATGTGCTCTCTAGGAAGTAGAGGAGAAAGGTATCACGTAATATATACAGTAAATGGAAAACACCGGAAGACCAGATCCCAAATTTGCTTAGTATAATAACAATATACTGGAGCACAAGGTATGGTAGCAAGTGCAAAATAGAGCCAGAGGACAGTAGTGGTGCCATGTGCACAATTAACACTATGGCGTGCCGGGTATGCGCGCCGCCAACTTAGAAGTCAGGTCCCGGGCGTACGGGCAAGCGCGAGGCGACACTGAAATGTGTATACTCGTTTCAGTTTTCTCACCTAAATTCTTGTGCTATGCCGTTCATTTTGGTATCTTTGTGTTTGCAATAGAATTCCATACAAGTGTATATGCATATAATGTCCAAAAGCCTGGTGTGACTCCCAACAGCAAAGCCTAAAGTTGGCAAAAGTTACCTTGTGAGCACACAAAATCAGTAAAATGTATTTACTCATTTCAGTTTTCTCACCTTAATTCTCATGCTACGTCGTTCGTTTTGGTATCATTGTCTTCACAATTAAATTCCCTGCTGGTGTATATGCATATAATGTACAAAAGCCCAGCGTGATTCCCTGCAGGAAAGCCTAAAGTTACCCGTTAACGAGCCCCAATTGGCACACCGCAACCTAATGTGTATACTCGTTCGGTTTGATAACATCAATTTCCGTGTTACGTCTTTCATTTTGGTATCAAATTGTTCGCAATATAAAGGCGCTTATTTTAAAACTAGTCCCATAATAATAGAGCAATAACTGGAATTTTAATAAATATTTTAATTTTGTATGCTCATCATCACAAAGTTATTTATATCTTTCCAGTGTTCTGACAAATTTTTGTGTCACATCTTTTATTTTGGTATCAAATTGTTCACAGTGCAAAGGCGTGCATTTTAAAACTTGTCCCAAAATAATAGCACAACAAATAGAATTTTAACAAATATTTTAAAATTTTGACCAAAAATGTATTTATAATCTTTCAAGTGTTCTGGCATCAGGTTTCATGTTACATCTTTCATTTTGGAATCAAATTGTGTGCATTCTAAGGGCACCTATTTTGAAACTATCCCGAAGTCGATCGGATAAAAAATGAATTTAATACAAATATTTTTGTATTGGACGCGAGCGCTATCCACGGCTAGGACTCAAGAGAAAAAAAGTGGACGTGAGCGTTGTCTACGGCTATCGATACTGTTAAAGAGCACTGTGTGAACATCAGATGTCCCCTGATGTTCAGTATCCTCCCAAGTAAGCATAAGACCTATTTCCAGAACAAAATTGGACTTCAAGAAAAAATTAAAAGATTTTCTGCAACCCAATTGCTGGACCAACAGGGTTGTAGTGGATATGTGGGCTGCTCCAAGCAACAGTCTGATGAATCAAGCTATCATAAGTCAAACCTAGCTCCAGGCCAGGCTCAGGGAGTACAAGGAATCCCAGATCCCACTCCAGGTGTGATTAAGGTATGACTTAATCGCATGTCCACCTTCCACTGATGTCCCCCTTGTCCTTCCTGTTTTTAATTTTAATAAGCTTCTTTTGTCCACTTTATCTATTTCCCTTAGGATTTTGTATGCAGTTATCATATACCCTCTGTTTCTCATCTCTCTAAGGAAGTGATAGCCAGTTTTCTCAGAAATAAACAAAATAATCAAAGTGGATAGAAAGTGTATTACAGTTGAGGGAGAACAAAACAAGCGACCTCAGTGGAATATTGGAAATACAGATGGTTTGGGGAAATGGTAGGAAATGTTTGTAAACGGAGAGAATTGACAAACAATTAGATTGAGGTTGAAGCAGAGGTGGTAATAGCAAAATGCATATTGATAGCAAACATGACAGAATATTGAACTTTTGGAAGGTTTAAAATGCATTAAGTGCATTATCTACGAGACAGAACTTGAGAGCTAGATCCTGCTCTCCTTGTAGACATAACTAGGTTAGCTCAGCCCAATCACCATTGGTTGTTTATTCCTACACAACAATACATTACCAGATTGTTGCCCCCCCCCCCCTCCCCCTTCCCCTCACCCCAACTCCTCACATTAAGTGCACACAACCACCACCCTCCTGCACGTGATTTATCCATGCACAGAACATGTAGTCATGCAGCCACGCTTGCGTGAGCATCAGCGCTCATAAAAAAAATTTCCTCGCTTTCTAAAACTAAATTCTACGTAACCTTGACTCTAGCAGTACAGTACCCATTGCAGGGTTGTTTGCTGCCTGATATGCTGTGTGTAATAAGTGGCTCTATATAATGAACAAATACTTTTCCCACTATGTAACCTCTTTAACGTGTCTAATGTTTTGTGTATTGTATGTATAAGATATTATTATTATTATTATTATTATTATTATTATTATTATTATTATTATTATTATTATTGTATTTGTTTAGATGACAGAGACAACGGTACCTTCATAGCTTGGAACATGTTTACCTAACATTTCATTCGATCACAAGCCTTCTTAACAAAGAGCCCTGGCTTAATCCTACTCCCCCTTTTCATTATCTTACCCTGCTCTTATTCTTACCTCATCCCAGTCTTCCTTCATCCCATTCTTACACTCGTGCCATTCATACGTTTCATTCTATTCTTACCTCCTTACCTTACTCTTACCTACTAGGAATTACCTTCTTCTCTTAGCTGTTCCTCACCTAACACCTTACCTTATTTCTTTTATTATTCTTGCACCTTACCTCCTCCTAGAAATTACCTTCTTCTCTTACTTGCACTTCACCTCTCTCTTTCCTTATATATTGGCCTGTTTCTTCCTCTCCCTAACACATGACTTGGTAATGGTTTTTAGGACGGACCAACACGTAGTCGTTTCTCCATCTTTTAATGTGTGGTTTGGTCATCATAGCCTCAGCCACGTTATTATGACTCATCATCTGCATGTAAACATTGTTCCTGGCCCATGATGTGATTGTAAAAGGATTCGTTTGTTTCGCATTTGTGTTACTTTTAAGGGTGAGAGTCGGTGAGCACAGTAATGCATAGAAGGAAAGTTGTCCCGAGATATGTGTGACTTCTTTATTTTTTCCACTGATTTGTTTTTGTGTGTGAGTGTACATCATTGTTGTTGATGTTATAGGTATTAAATATCTTCTCATCAGATACTGTTAGATGTAAAGGATCAGCTGATGAAGCAACCCACCCTAGTCGATGTCACTATTCCTGACGACTCCAAGTTTACGGTCTGCGGAGACATTCACGGACAGTTCTATGACCTCATGAACATTTTTGATCTTAATGGACTACCTTCAACTACAAACCCATATCTCTTTAATGGAGACTTCGTTGACAGAGGGTCCTTTTCCGTGGAATGCATTTACGTCTTATTTGGCTTCAAACTTCTCTACCCCAATCACTTCTTTATGTCCAGAGGTGAGTGTCACCTTCAGTTGGTTCCAAGGGCCGCTGTCCCACAGCGGTGACTTCCCGCCAAACACATGACGGAACTACAAAATTGCTACAACGTTCGAACAAGTTGTAACCCCTTCTGACAAGTTGTTACAACTTTCTAACATGTCATACAAATTTTATAACAAGATGTAACACCTTTGTAACAAAGTTGTAACTTGTAACGTTGTAACGAGGGGACGTTACGTTGTGTGTTTGTCGTTTATTTTTTTTTACCTCGCCTGTTAATGTTTGCTTGCACAGTCATGCTTGTAATGTGATTTTGTTTGTTTATTAACTTGTACAGTTATATTAAAAAATATTTAACTCGTACATGGATATAAAAACTATGTTAATTAATGTTTAACCCATGCATTTATATAAAATGTTTAACCCATTACTTTAAATGTTCATGTTGAACCCATACTTACAGTTTATTTAATAAATATCCCAACCCACATACATGAAATTTAATGACAATGACAAGGTTTTGTCCATCCAGTACACTGTTGTCCACCCAGTACACTGTTGTCCACCCAGTACACTGTTGACAGTACACTGTTGACAGTACACTGTTGACCAGTACACTGTTGTCCATCCAGTACACTGTTGTCCATCCAGCACACTGTTCACCATCCAGTACACTGTTGACCATCCAGCACACTGTTGACCATCCAGTACACTGTTGACCATCCAGTACACTGTTGACCATCCAGTACACTGTTGACCATCCAGTACACTGTTGACCATCCAGTACACTGTTGACCATCCAGTACACTGTTGACCATCCAGCACACTGTTGACCATCTAGTACACTGTTGACCATCCAGTACACTGTTGACCAGTACACTGTTGTCCATCCAGTACACTGTTGACCATCCAGTACACTGTTGACCAGTGCACTGTTGTCCAACCAGTACACTGTTGACCATCCAGTACACTGTTGACCATCCAGTACACTGTTGACCATCCAGTACACTGTTGACCATCCAGTACACTGTTGACCATCCAGTACACTGTTGTCCATCCAGTACACTGTTGTCCATCCAGTACACTGTTGACCATCCAGTACACTGTTGACCAGTACACTGTTGACCATCCAGTACACTGTTGTCCATCCAGTACACTGTTGACCAGTACACTGTTGACCATCCAGTACACTGTTGTCCATCCAGTACACTGTTGACCATCCAGTACACTGTTGACCATCCAGTACACTGTTGACCATCCAGTACACTGTTGACCATCCAGTACACTGTTGACCATCCAGTACACTGTTGTCCATCCAGTACACTGTTGACCATCCAGTACACTGTTGTCCATCCAGTACACTGTTGTCCATCCAGTACACTGTTGACCATCCAGTACACTGTTGTCCATCCAGTACACTGTTGACCATCCAGTACACTGTTGACCATCCAGTACACTGTTGACCATCCAGTACACTGTTGACCATCCAGTACACTTGTCCATCCAGTACACTGTTGTCCATCCAGTATACTGTTGACCATCCAGTACACTGTTGACCAGTACACTGTTGTCCATCCAGTACACTGTTGTCCATCCAGTACACTGTTGACCATCCAGTACACCGTTGTCCATCCAGTACACTGTTGTCCATCCAGTACACTTTTGACCATCCAGTACACTGTTGACCATCCAGTACACTGTTGACCAGTACACTGTTGACCATCTAGTACACCGTTGTCCATCCAGTACACTGTTGTCCATCCAGTACACTTTTGACCATCCAGTACACTGTTGACCATCCAGTACACTGTTGACCAGTACACTGTTGACCAGTACACTGTTGACCATCCAGTACACTGTTGACCATCCAGTACACTGTTGACCAGTACACTGTTGACCATCCAGTACACTGTTGACCATCCAGTACACTGTTGACCATCCAGTACACTGTTGACCATCCAGTACACTGTTGACCATCCAGTACACTGTTGTCCATCCAGTACACTGTTGACCATCCAGTACACTGTTGTCCATCCAGTACACTGTTGACCATCCAGTACACTGTTGACCATCCAGTACACTGTTGTCCATCCAGTACACTGTTGACCATCCAGTACACTGTTGTCCATCCAGTACACTGTTGACCATCCAGTACACTTGTCCATCCAGTACACTGTTGTCCATCCAGTACACTGTTGACCATCCAGTACACTGTTGACCAGTACACTGTTGACCATCCAGTACACTGTTGTCCATCCAGTACACTGTTGACCATCCAGTACACTGTTGACCATCCAGTACACTGTTGTCCATCCAGTACACTGTTGACCATCCAGTACACTGTTGACCATCCAGTACACTGTTGACCAGTACACTGTTGACCATCCAGTACACTGTTGTCCATCCAGTACACTGTTGTCCATCCAGTACACTGTTGACCATCCAGTACACTGTTGACCATCCAGTACACTGTTGACCATCCAGTACACTGTTGACCATCCAGTACACTGTTGACCATCCAGTACACTGTTGTCCATCCAGTACACTGTTGACCATCCAGTACACTGTTGACCAGTACACTGTTGACCATCCAGTACACTGTTGACCATCCAGTACACTGTTGACCATCCAGTACACTGTTGTCCATCCAGTACACTGTTGACCATCCAGTACACTGTTGACCATCCAGTACACTGTTGACCATCCAGTACACTGTTGACCATCCAGGACACTGTTGACCATCCAGTACACTGTTGACCATCCAGTACACTGTTGTCCATCCAGTACACTGTTGACCATCCAGTACACTGTTGTCCACCAGTACACTGTTGACCAGTACACTGTTGACCAGTACACTGTTGACCATCCAGTACACTTGACCATCCAGTACACTGTTGACCAGTACACTGTTGTTCATCCAGTACACTGTTGACCAGTACACTGTTGTTCATCCAGTACACTGTTGACCATCCAGTACACTGTTGACCACCAGTACACTGTTGACCATCCAGTACACTGTTGACCATCCAGTACACTGTTGTCCATCCAGTACACTGTTGACCATCCAGTACACTGTTGTCCATCCAGTACACTGTTGACCATCCAGTACACTGTTGACCATCCAGTACACTGTTGTTCATCCAGTACACTGTTGTCCATCCAGTACACTGTTGTCCATCCAGTACACTGTTGACCATCCAGTACACTGTTGACCATCCAGTACACTGTTGACCATCCAGTACACTGTTGACCATCCAGTACATCCAGTACACTGTTGACCAGTTGTCCATCCAGTACACTGTTGACCATCCAGTACACTGTTGACCATCCAGTACACTGTTGTCCATCCAGTACACTGTTGACCATCCAGTACACTGCTGTCCATCCAGTACACTGTTGACCATCCAGTACACTGTTGACCATCCAGTACACTGTTGACCAGTACACTGGTGACCATCCAGTACACTGTTGACCATCCAGTACACTGTTGTCCATCCAGTACATTGTTGACCATCCAGTACACTGTTGACCATCCAGTACACTGTTGTCCATCCAGTACACTGTTGACCATCCAGAACACTGTTGACCATCCAGTACACTGTTGACCATCCAGTACACTGTTGACCATCCAGTACACTGTTGACCATCCAGTACACTGTTGACCATCCAGTACACTGTTGTTCCATCCAGTACACTGTTGACCAGTACACTGTTGTTCATCCACTACACTGTTCATCCAGTACACTGTTGACCATCCAGTACACTGTTGACCATCCAGTACACTGTTGACCATCCAGTACACTGTTGACCATCCAGAACACTGTTGACCATCCAGTACACTGTTGACCATCCAGTACACTGTTGACCATCCAGTACACTGTTGACCAGTACACTGTTGACCAGTACACTGTTGACCATCCAGTACACTTGTCCATCCAGTACACTGTTGACCAGTACACTGTTGTTCATCCAGTACACTGTTGACCAGTACACTGTTGTTCATCCAGTACACTGTTGACCATCCAGTACACTGTTGACCATCCAGTACACTGTTGACCAGTACACTGTTGACCATCCAGTACACTGTTGACCATCCAGTACACTGTTGACCATCCAGTACACTGTTGACCATCCAGTACACTGTTGACCATCCAGTACATCCAGTACACTGTTGACCATCCAGTACACTGTTGACCATCCCAGTACACTGTTGACCATCCAGTACACTGTTGTCCATCCAGTACACTGTTGACCATCCAGTACACTGTTGACCATCCAGTACACTGTTGACCATCCAGTACACTGTTGTACACTTTTGACCATCCAGTACACTGTTGACCATCCAGTACACTGTACACTGTTGACCATCCAGTACACTGTTGACCATCCAGTACACTGTTGACCATCCAGTACACTGTTGACCATCCAGTACACTGTTGACCATCCAGTACACTGTTGTTCATACAGTACACTGTTGACCAGTACACTGTTGACCATCCAGTACACTGTTGACCATCCAGTACACTGTTGACCATCCAGTACACTGTTGTTCTTACAGTACACTGTTCAAGTGGTGGCATTTCTAGAAGTCTCAGACACACTGAAATGTCATTGCTCTCATTTCATTTCAAATGTATGCATTAGTGCTATTTGTTTCAGTCGCATTATTGTGACTTGTTCTCTGTACTTTAAATAATGTTTAACCCACAGTCGTGAAACAGTGTCACTTGCAGCTTATCAGTTGGTGTTTAACCAACTATTCAGTATAGCACTTCAGAAGAACAGCATTTCATGGGGTAAGATGGTCCTGTGCAGACAATGAGTCACAGTAATGTGGCTGATGATATGAGGACCAAACCACACACACCAGAACATGAAGAGACGACGACGTTTCGGTTCGTCCTGGACCATTGTCACAATCGACTTGATGATGGTCCAGGACGGACCGAAACGTCGTCGTCTTCTCATCTTCTGGTGTGTGGTTTGGTTATCAATATGGTGCTCTACTGCTCCTG